TCAAATTTGAAAGAAGTTTTCTATAAAGTTAAAAATTGTATTTATTTTATAATTTACCAAATATAATAACAGAATCTGTTGATTTGATGAACGAGTGTCTAAATTGTAGGAAAGGATTGGGTTTAGGTCCCATAACTACGTTGTGCTAATTAATTACTGCTTATGACCCACACATGCTATGCTACTGTATCAACACATAACTAAACAAGGATACAAGGGTCCGTAAGTTCGTTAAACTTCAATTCTATATATTTTTTAAGAGTTGAGTTGGATTGAAATTTTAAAGTGTTTTAAAACGACCACTAGGGTTAGTTTAGTAGTTGGGTAGGGAGGGGTTGGGATAATTAAAAGCATGAGGACTTAAGTTTAATCCTTGTTGCAGATCATCTTTGTAATCTTTCTTATTTTTACAAAAAAAGATATGTTTTAAAACAAATATTATAAAATAGTTTTTTAGTATTTAATTAAGATTTTTTAATATAAAAAGTTATGTAGTATTTAATTAAGATTTTTTTCACTTAAAAAATCTGTCAATATTTAAAAACATAAAAATTTCAATGTTTTGAAAGATAGAATTTGTAAAACTATTTAGTAGAAACAATTTAATATTGAGATATATCAAAATTTTAAATATATATTAAAATATATTCTAATTGTAACGACCTATCATTAATTCCTACACTGAACGACATATATTCTAACAACGAAACATCTACTAATTTATGATTATATACATATAAATACGATAATATGTATTATATCGTATACATAGAAAGATAAAATAACTACATAAGTATGTCCAATTTAAGTACAATAATCCTATAAATGTAAACTATACAACGTAAGTTACCGGTCAAGCAATCGATACTATCTACACAAGAATCACCCCAAAAGATAGTCATCAAAAAGAACATCCAACTCCAATACCACTAAGTGGCCTCCATTGCATAACTCCATACATATCGTTGTCCTGCTCTCATATCATTTATGATCATCGTAATCCAAACTATATGGAAATACACAAGGTTAAGCTAAAATTTTAAAGAATTAACATATATGCAATAGGCAATATAAAACACAAACAACTTTAATACATCCACACATCTTCGTCTCATCGCCAATACTATTAACATGTATCATCACGATACAACTAACATATATCATCATAAACAATACAGTCTACTTCTACACAATTTACAACACAACAACTACATGCATTGTCACACACTTCAATTAGGAGATCTCCTACAACATATGGTGAATAGTATAAGTGACTTGACCTTACTAAATCAACAACATAGGGTGATCTTTTTGGACTTGCTAAATCAACAACAAATTGGATATAAAAATTCATAACACAACAACTTAGTTTCTCGAATGTCGCCACTTAAATAATGAAGTTTAGTACTACTACCAAGGTATAACAACTAAGTATGAGCCTACCATGACATTAGCTAGTTTAACTAAGTCTCCTATGGGATTACTCCATCAACTACCCTCCAAATACTACGTCTTTTTGATACTTGATTAGGAATTAAGTTTTCGACTTTGTAGTTTACTCAGTTGGTCACTTGTAACCAGTATAAATCGACTTGGCCCTTATACTTTAGTCGCTTTATGCACATGTTCCTAGACCTTACCCACACACGGTACTAACTAAATCCTAGAGGAAATTCAACCTAGTTATTTACATATTGGGCTCTCAAAGCTCAAAACCAATTGTCCTTTTTGTACCCAACAAACCAAAAAATTTTACCAGCTCATGATCTTACAATTGTTTCAATCCAACTATTGCTTCAAGGACTCACTAACTATATGGCCATTCGACAACTAATATGATTTTGAGCCAACTTTACACATAAATTCATATTTAAGGGATTCTCCACCAATTCCATCCCTTTCACCATCATGGAAAATATGCAGATGAATTTCCTACTTCGGGCATCTACCACTATGTTGGCCTTCTTAGGGTGAAATATCAACTGAAAATCATAATTCTTAAAAAAATTCATCCACTGTCTCTACCTCATGTTTAGCTAGCTCCTTCTAATCAAACATGTATTTTAGACTATTGTGATCACTAAAAACATTGAACCTAACACCATATAAATAGAGCCTTTATATCTTTAAGGCAAAAACATCAGTCATCAACTCTAAGTTATGAGTGAGATAATTTCTCTCATGAGTTTTTAGTTGCAATGAAGCATATGCCACTACTCTCTTATTCTGCATCAACACACACCCCAATCCTTAATGAGAAGTGTCATAGTACACTTCAAATGATTTATCGGGATCAAGCAACACCAACACAGGAGAAATAATTAATCTTTTCTTCAACTCCTCAAAACTCTCCTTGTATGCATCTGTCTATATGAAAAGAGATCGTTTCTAGTCAATTAGGCTGAGGGCATTACTATCTTAGTTAATCCCTTAATGAAACTCCTATAGTAACTCATTAAACTCACAAAACTTATAATATTCGTTACAATTTTTGGGCATTCCCACTATAGTATCGACTCCATCTTGGTCGGATCCACTACAATCCCTTCTGTTGAAATAACATGACCCAAGAATTTTATCTTCTCCAACTAGAATTCACACTTTGACAACTTTGCATACAACTGCCTCTTCCACAACACCTTAGACATCAACCTTATGTGTTCTCCATGCTCCTTTAGGGATCTTGAACAAATAAGGATGTCGTCAATGAACACCATCACAAATTTATCCAAGAACGGTTAAAAGATCTTGTTCATGTAGTTCATGAACATTGCTGGGAAAATAATCACCCCAAAAGGCATCACAATATATTCATAGTGACCTTACCTAGTATGAAAAATAATCTTCAGTATGTCACTCTCCTTCACCTTAATTTGTTGATAGTTTGATCTGAAGTGAATCTTGGAAAATACCAATATTCCTTTAAGCTGATCGATTGAAATAGAATGAGATAATAATTTTTTATTTATTATTTTAAAATTAAAAAATATTTTTATTTTTATTATACTACATTTTTATTTTATTTTAATTATTTTATATATTTATCATTAAATTAAATAAAAATGAAAATAATACATAAATAAACCAAAAATCAACCCTATACACATTATATACAAATTTAACCTTGAGATTTTGTGTAAACCATGTTTTTGGACAAAAGAAATACACAAACTATTGTATTATGCAAGAACATTTTTAGGAATTTCTCTTTAGCGAAAACATTTGTAGACATTTTTCTCCAATTAGATAATTTATAAAGATTCTTTTAACTTCTTATCAAATTCAATTTTTATTTATCATATTTATTTATTATATTTTATTTTTTTTAAAATTATCAATAATTAAAAATAATTATATTAATTACAATGTGAATCATTTATCATAAATCAAATATATAATTTATATATATATTAAAAATATTTATTCATACAAATTTTGAATATAATTTATATATTCAAATGTAATATTTATTTTTATATATAATTTATTATAAATTTTAGTTATATAATAATCATTTAATATGTGCAAATATGTACTACTAATTTAAAATTCTCATATATTCTTTTGTTACAAATATTCATATTTATTAGATAAATCAAATATTAATACATTTTTTAATATATTTCAAGACATTAAATATATTTGTTTTCTTATTTAATATTATTCAATAAAAAAATTAATAATATAATATACAATTAGATATTAAATATGTTAAAATTAAAATAAAAGATATTAACTATATTTTTAATTGATTTAAATATATTTTTGATCCCTATAATATACTACATTTTTGTTTTGATCTTTATAAAATTATTTTTCTCTCTTTTTTTATCCTTATTAAATATTACAAAGTTTAAATGAAAAAAAATACTATAAGGATTATTTAAAAAAAATAAATTAAAAAAATACTATATTAACTAAAAACATATTCAAACTTCTCTAATTATCTCAATTAAACTCGTCTTGCAAACCATAGAACCCAACATCATAGAAGTATGACATGTCGCCGCTTATCATTGCAGCCACCGCAGGTTCCATGTTCTGAGCAGTTTTGTAATCATTGTATGTATTCTGTTCCAGATCATAGAGCCAACTTTAGTTACTGTGTTCAAAAATCAATCAGCCTCAAACAATCAAAACACAAAATAACATATCATTAAAACTGGATTAATATGCAGCAAGACATTAAAAAAAATTCAGAATGATTATTAAATATATATATATATATATATATATATATATAACAATAGAATAATTATTAGTCAACTCCCTTTGGTTTCATGAGATATTTCTTTAATTTTTTAGTTTATTTCAAAATACTTACTACTTTAAAATTAAAAATATTAATTACATTTTGTGTAATGTTTTCATTTATTAGTATTTTATTAAATACTTAATAAATTTTCAATTATATATTCTAACCCTTTGACTAAGACTATTTTGAGAAAATATAATAAATTATATAATTAATATTTTCTTAATACCCTCTTTTATATCCTTTAGACATTGACTTTTGCACTTTAATTTTATAAGAAAGAAAAAGATAAACCTCTTCATTTTTTACATTAAAAATCACTTTCTTTGTTTTCTATTATAAATAACAAATTAATTTTATACATATTAAGAAAATTAGTTATTTATATTAAATTTTATTAATTTCATATTTTTTAAAAATTATATATATCAAAAGAAATTGGCAATTAAAAAACTATGCATTAAAATACATGTATTTTAAGAAGAGTATAATTAAATGAGATAAAATTAATTAAAATTTGATTATATTTTTTTCTTTTTATAATAGAAAATAAAGTAGAGGAAAAAATAAAAAATATAGAGAGCCACATAAGATGCACTTTTTAAGAATAAAAGATTCTGTAAGACGTATCAATCAATCAAATCTCATCCCAATCTTTTTTCTCTTCCTATTTAACACGAGAGATATGTCATCCTTAAAATTTGGCCTTTTTTAGGATAGTCTTCGTGTCTGTTATTATTATATCATATCATGTATACCTGTCATCTTAATCCTAATTTAAAATGGATCTGTGTTAGTTTTCACGAGTGCTTATCTGTTTCTCCCTTTCTTGAGTTCATTGTGTTTCAATTCAGTGCTTCTGTGCAAATATACATATATACATACTTGGTTGTCTACAAATTCAGTTGAACCACCATATTTTAGGTATATTCTAGTCTCTTTTTTTATTTAATTTTTTTATATTCCTAATTTTGATAATTAAAATTAATCCTTCTTTTCAAGCAGTTCTCATTGTGCATTCCTTTTTTCTTTCTTTTTGGTGGGGTTTTTGGTGTGATATCTCTCTTATTTTCTCATATTGCACAAGACAAAATTCACTGTGGAGGTATAGAAACTTTAAACAAGAGTAGTCACGGCCATGACTTGTGATTTGTGTTCTTCTGTTTTGTTTTTCTTTATAATTGTGAATTGGGATTTTCATTTGCAAATATTTTGAATTTCAATTAGATCGATTCGATAAAATTGAGGGCACCATGTCTGGCATGCCAGCTATGTTTTCTTCGATGACAGAAGTGAAATTTTTGACGCGTGAACTCTTTCCTTTCTTGGCTTTCTTATTACTAATTAATTAAATTAAATTAAGGCATGCAAAAGAGTTTCTAGCAAATTAAGTCATGTAAGATAATTATAGGTGTCATTTTCTTGATATTCATATAGCAATAAAAGAAAATACAAAAAAAAATTATATTTTATACTTTACAAATGTACAATCACGGGACATTAGGTTGGAGACTGCTGGCATTGCCAGAGGAGCAATTGTATTTCATGGAACTCAGGAATTGATGACCAATGCATGAAATACCTTTCAACATTTGCTTCAACACACCTGCAAACAAACATGCATGTCCTAAGTGTTTTTCATGTTGAATCTATGTCCTGTTCATCCACAACAACTGTACATTGCTGCATAAATGATGTATTATTCTCTTGTTTTGAGAGGCGTTGTGCTATTTGATTATTTCCTTTGTTAATTTATAGTATGAACAATGTTAATTATGTAAAATGTTACATGCAGTTGCAACATCATATCGTGATAATTTGAGTTATACATACAAGGACTAAAGAATTCAAGTACTAGAACACCCGTCTGAATATGATTGCTATAGAAAACCAATTATTGTTTGGGCCTAATATAAATTCATGGTTTTCTATTTTACTATTTCATTGTTTGTATCTTTTATGTGCACTGTATATAAATGTGACTATATATGTGTGTTCTGAACGTTTGTTTGTCCTTTTTAATTTATGTTCTGATTTGGAAATTTTCAACTTTCACAGGCCACTGAAATGAACTGGATTCTGATGATACTCTTAAAGCCAGAGCCACTCTCAAGTTTACGTCACTTTAATAGCGTCACTTGCTTGTAATGCTTGTAATAGCTGTCTCTGATGCACCTTTTCATCGATCCTCTCTTTCATTGCCACCAACCCTTCACGAAAACCTAGTCACTTTTGAACTCATAGCCTTATAAAACCTTATTATTCATACACTCATCAACCTCATCACATAAACAAAAACAACCTTATCCTTCTCTCTATCTCTCTTTCTATTTCTCATTACATATTACATTTCTTGGTATATAAAGCCGAAAGGTATCAAACTATCAAAGTCCTCTCTTCATTTTTTCATCACTTTCTCACAATGGCTATGAGAAGCACCATATTTTTCTCTCCAAATGGTGATGATTACATTGGCGCTGAGAGTTGCATGGACCTCCAAAACTCAAACGATGTGCTTGTGGTTGATAATCACCATGCATCCCAATCCAACCAAGCCATAGCGAAGCGCAACATGCAGCCAAAGAAAGAGAAAAAACCGTTCCCTCCTCCTATACCATTACTAGTTAGAACTCAAAACCTGGCTTCACACATGCCATGGGTTTTAAAGAGGTACTACACGAGCGAGGGAAGGTTGATTCTCAAAGAGGAGAAGGTGAGGCACCACGAGTACTTTCTGGCACACAGAGCCAATGGTAGGCTCACATTGCAACTAGTTAACGTTCCTCTTGATGATGATGATGACTATGATGAGGGCTTTCAAGAAGCAACACCAACTAGTCCTCATGAAGAGGTTCATAATCATAACGTTACTCATGATAGTAGTAGTAATGATAGGTTTGAAGAGGAAGAGAATGTGGCTAGCGTTGTTGCTGATGATGTTTCTATGGAACATGAGAATGATGTGGTTGTAGCTGGTAGTGGTAGAGTGAAGAGTTTGAACTGCAATAGAGTGAGTTCAAGTCCAACGTGTATTTTTGGGGTGCCGATGCATCCCATTAGAACGGTTCATGGTTAATGATAATTTTGGTCATTTGTAGTTTTGGTGAAATTTGAGACGTTAATTAGAAATGCAAGTTAATTTTGTTCACCATTCTGGGATTGAAGCTTTTGGTTTAAGTGATTGTTGGGTTCTTAATTTCCTTCTCCAAAGCTTAAAGCTTGTTGGACAACAATCAATAATTTAATTTTTTATTTATGTCATTTTCCTAATGTTTAGTTACGGAAGCTTGAATTATTATTATCTAGAGCGAAACTGAGTCTTTAGTCATGTCACTTGTTTTTCTAGGACTAGAGAACGATTTGAAGCGATTTTTAAATCAATTTCTCCATGAATTAAAAAATCTCAATTTTGTGTGTTTGTTTCAGTTCGAAATTTTCTCAAGTGTTTGAAGGAGCAAGTTGTTCGATTTGCAAGTGAAAGGGATATTTGTCGAGTTTATCGGTATCCAGCATGAAGAATGGATAACATGAATATTGTTTCAATAGAATTTCAAAAATTGAAACATTGTTCTTTGAAAATTCTCTTCACGAAAAGGTTTGGTTAAGTGTGAAAACATTCAAAATCACTCTTTGAGTGTAAAAGTTATGCAAAAAGTGGAGAGAAATTTGAATGAAAGGGAACATTACAATAAAATACACTTTTTTTAGTAACATTTAATATGATTTTTATTAGTGATAATTATTTTGCATATTATTATGATATTTTTTACTAGCATTTAATATTTTTTGTTATTGTCAAAAAAGTTTAAAAAATGATTCATAATATTTTTTAATTATGTTATTTTTAGTTGACGTGAGACTTGTATTTTTTTCTTATTTTTTTAATTATCTTATTTTATCTCTTAAGAGATATGAGACTTGTAAAGTAAGAGTCACTCTTTATTTATATACTCTTTAATTATTTTATCTATAAAAGATGTGGAACTTGTAAAATGAGAGTTATTTTTTACTTACATACTCTTTAATTATTTTATCTATAATCGATGTGAGACTTAAATTTTTTCTAATAAATAATTATCGCTAATAGTAAATTTTAGTGTGATATAAATATATTTTTAGTGATTATTATATATTAGTCATTAATATTTTTATTAAATAATAAAATAAAGATAATTAATTTATTACTATTAAATAATTATCGATAATAATAAATTTTGTTATAGTGGAAGGGTTAAAAAATGGTTAAAAATTGTGTTTGATTTAGTTTAAAAGAGGGGAAAGATTCTATCGGAAGATGTAACTCTCTGTTTGTTTGGAAATAAGAGGGATGAGAGAGATTTTAAAAATTATTTTATATTTATACTTTTATAATTTTAAATTTAAATCATAAATAAAAATATTTTAGTCATTACATTTAATGGGTTTGTTTGATTCAAAGGAGGATGATACAAGAGAAATTTTAATGGAGGGAAGGGAAGAAGGGAGAAAATTATAAATTTTGTTTGGTTGAGAGGAAAGAGAATGTAACTATTTTTTATTTTTTGTTTGGTTTGCAAGAGGAGAGAGTGATGTTAAAAATCAATTTTATGTATTTTTATAATTTTAAATTTAAAAATATAAGTAAGAGTATTTTAGTTAAAAGTATTTTAAAATCCCTTCCCTCTAAATCCTTAACCATCGGAAGGGAAGTAAAATTAGATGAAGAGAAGTTTTATTCTCTTTCTAAAAATTAAATAAAAAAAATATTTATGAAAACTCTTTCCTTTTCTTTCAACTAAACACTATTTAAATGTTTTAGTTTCTTCTATTCATAAGCTTGTTTTTTTTTTCTTCTAAAATTTTCATATTCTATTTTTTAAATATAAAGTTAAATCTTTTACTTGCTTTGTTAATTTACTTATTTCACTATATATCATCATTAGTTTTTTTTGAGGTTCTATAAAATTAATTATATTAGTTTTTTGTGGTTCTAAAAAATTGATTGGTTTTAAAGTCTATGTAATATTTAGTATTTTTAGTCTATTTACAAAGGATCCTATATCTTTTATTTATTTTCTTTTAAGATAATATATTTTTCCTATATTTTTTAAATAGATTGGAGACATCAATCCTATCATTATTTCTAAAATTTATATGATTGTATTAATATATAATTAATAAAATAGATTATTGAAAAGATTTTGTCTCTTAATTTTATTAGATTTTCTTTCAAAATTTCATGCTCAAGAGTTAATAATTGATCTAATTTTTTTTAACTTCTTATGATATTCCAATATTTGGATGAATCTCAAACTTTAATTTTATATATGCTAAATTTCCTTTTATTACTTCTAGTATTTTATTTGCTGGATAAGTTATTCTACCATATTTCAATACTAATTTTTAAGAAGGGACGACTTTATCTATAAATTCATTTAGCACCAATTGAAAACTACTTTCTTTCTACGTTGTTCTTTTTCCAAATTTCTTTTTGACTCCAGAACTTTCTTTTTATTTAATAATTATACACATATTTTTTCAAACCTATGCTATATCTATTGGTGCTTCGTTAATTAATTTTTTTTAAAATATTTGTTTAAAATATTTTATTATTTTTCCAAAATTTTCTTTTCTTCCAAAGTATGTGCTACTAAATGAACATTATTAATACTTCCTTTATATTTCTATCTTCTTCAAAAGTTTATAAACTTCATGGTGTTATTATTGATTTTCTTTCTTTTAGTTATTTCCAACATGATATAACTAATATATACAAATCTATTAACAAGATATTTAAATAATCATAGATGTTTGAAGATTCTTTAAACTTCGTCATTGTTACCCATTACAACTTCCATTGGTTGAGTTGAGTAAGATATAAAGCAATTGACTACAAAGTGAAAGTTTTATTAATAAGTAAGATAACTACAAAGTAGATTCACTCAAGAACCAGACCAACTCTCCTAAGGAAGCTAGCACACTTCTCTTATCTAAAGAGATTTCTCAAGTGATAAGTTTTTCTAATTGAAAAACTCTGCCATATCTCAATTTAAGAGGACTTATTTATAGTCCTAAAGAGTCTAAGTTTATTTACACAAATGTCCTTACATCTCGCAAGTGCTTACATTAGCTTTAATTACATTGCCTTGTCTGAAAAATATCTTCGAAAATCCCCTTTATTGCTTTGTTGTGAGGCTTGCTTTGTGCTTCTCTCACATTCATGAATTTTGTTCTTGTTGAACAAAAGATGTTTTTGGAATGTCCAACATCTATGTAATTTTGATGATAATAAAGTAATTTAAATTTTGATAGACTAATATTTTTATGAATACCCACAAGTATTATGCATACAAACAAGTCAAGCAAGCAACCTAAGGTTTATGTAAAATAAGTTTGAATCAATAATAAATGACTATCTTATACACATAAAATAACTAAATAAGTTGATCATCCAAAACAGTGAACTAAAATGTTTATAAGCTAAGATATGTTCATCCAACATCTAATGCGTGTTATAATTATGCACAAGTATCCAATATAAAATCTTTGAAGTTAATTGTTTAGTGGTTAAAACCTGAACAAACTCAAATAGCTCTATCATTTCTTTCGCAAGGTTGTCATACATTGAGTCTAAACTTATATAATAACAACTTAATAGGTCACTATATGAGTATAAACAATGTAAAAAAAATGATCATATAACTTATGATTTACATACATAACAATTCCTAGATATATGCATAATATGGATATATAAATGAGTATCCCGAAAAACTCTATACATATAGTCATCCAAAAAGAGTCCTTGAGGCAACAACCACAAAAAAAATTCCTCGTGATTCTCTATATGTTTGATTTCTTGTTATCATATTATTTGACTGAAATTTTCATTAAAACTTATTGAGATTTTTATTTACCTATAAAAATTAAGCTTCACGATTCAAAATTAATTTTCTCAATTAATTTTAGATTTCTATTAATTATTTTATTTTTTATGAGTTAAAAATTCATATTAATTTTATTTTAACTCAATAAATACTTAATTTTACATAAAAATTATATTTATGTGTATTTCATCCAAAATCGAAATGACATTGTTAGTTTTATCGAATTTGAATGCTAAATTGATATTAATTAGCTTATACAAATAAGTACGGACATTTTAGTCATTTTCTCTAGAATTTTTTAAAGATTCAATTTTTCTTTTCGCGTCAAAATTATATTTTAAGATATATGTCATGATTTGTTAGGTCTTTTGTGGTAAGTGAACCAAGTCTCTTATAATATAAAATTGAAGTATGGATTATTGATTCATAAAATATTTTATAATTTATAATATCTTAGTTAAAACTTGTAAAAGAAAAATATACACTTGAATATAAACATGTTGTTGGCATATTCAATATTGAATTGGTAAAAGATAACAACGAAAGAAGTTGTTGGAACTGAATTTTACCTATTTTACTCTTATGCTCTTCTAAAATTATTTATATATGATTACTATCACTTAATGTTATTAAATTCTTTAAAGTCATTCTAATTAATTTTCTTGCCTTTAAAAATTCTAAGAATTTTAATTTAATAAATGATTCTTCGATTTACCATATCAGAGTCCTTGCATTAAGTTTAAGAATTTGTTTAACTAATAACTTTAAATCTATTCCTAACATTTATAATCATTAGGTAATTTGATTTAAAACAAATTTATAAAATGTTTTCCAATCAAAGTTTAAATCAAACATCAAAAAGTAAGTGATTAATCCACCCCTGGCATTAAGAATAGAATCAAACCATTAACATTGAATAATAGGCAATCATATATATAAATAAAAAGATTACATAAAATTTGATAAATTACATTTAATCCTAACAAAAGAATAGGAATATCTGCTCATGATAATGAAAACAATATCCATGTACAAAGAAAGTATAAAAGGAAAAAATGAACCTAGAATTCAAGTCCCCAAATGACTCTTCAAATTTTTTTCTCTTTAATGCTACTTCTCGTTTGTGTTCCCCTTTGTATGATGATGATTTTCTCTCTCTATATATCCCATAAATAGGTTTGGGAAATAAAATAAAGTAAGCTTGAAAGAGATTAATCCACTCAATCCTTTCCAAATGATTGAGTTGATTTTTGAACCTAAAATCCTTGTCCCCAAATGAA